GCGTTAGGTGGCGGAGGGTGGAGAGACGGTAGAGACTGAGGGAGATGGTGGAAGTGAGAAGGAGAGAGCGAGGCCACGAGGGAGACTGACATGTTTGGTTGGGAGGTTTGGAGAAATGAAACAATGGTGCGTGCGTGCGTGGTGTGGCACTTTAAGAGTTCACAACGGAAAGGCTCGCAGATCAGCAAAACATCTGTTCTTAGGACCTTTTGCTTGTAAATAGGCTGGTGTGATGAGAATTGAACTCACAACAGAAACACGAAAGCCATGGTCCGCTAGTGGTGGTGCGGGTGCTGCTGCTGGTGGTGGTTCAGGTGGTGGTGTTGGCGGGAGTGGTGGGTGGGGCGGTGCCACTGCGGCAGCGGCAGATTCAGGGAGGTGATAGTGAGGAGACGAAATCCAAGGAGGTGGAGTGTGAGTGGAGGCTTCAGAAGAGGGATTGAAGGAAGCTACCTCTGCTGAACTGGCAGCAGTTGAAATCCAAGGAGGTGGAGGGTGGGTGGAGGTACTAGCAGAGAAATTAGAGGAAGCTACTTCTGCTGAACTGGGAGCAGATGAAAGCCAAGGAGGTGGAGGATGAGTGGAAGGGTGTGTCTGCTGCTGTTGGTAACCCTGGTTCGGATTCCAATGCTGGTTCGGATTCCAGGGCTGGTTCGGGTTCCAATGCTGTTTCGGATTCCAATGTTGATGCTGATGCTGCTGCTGATGCTGATACTGATGCTGCTGATACTGATGCTGATGCTGCTGCTGCTGCTGCTGCTGCTGGTACGCTGAGTCGTGTGCTTGTTGTTGCTGTGCGTAAGAGTATTGTGCCTGCTGCTCATACTGTGGTGGCTGTGCCTGCTGCTGCTCCTGACCCTGATGCGGGTATTGCCATGGATCCTGCTGTTGCTGCTGCTGCTGCTCCTGCAGAGGTTGCAAATGCTGTGAGTATTCCTGGCTGTACTGTTGCTGGTACGACCCTTGCGAGTGTGGCTGCTTTTGATAATCTTGGGGATACCGCATCTGTGCGCTACTATGGTCTCCTGGTGATCCTTCCATGAGTGAAAGCTCTTCCGTTCGGTGCTGCTGCCACGTCAGCTGGTCGTGCTTTACCAGACTAGGATACTGCAACGGGGATTAAATCCGCTTCTTAAAATTGCCGTCTCTGAGGCAGGTTATAAGCAGGCTTATCGATAAAGCCTGCTTTGGCCTGAGGCAGTTTAAAAGAAGAGAATGGTCACAGGCCAGCACGGGTGCGGTCAAACTCTTTAAAATGATATGCCCGATGCGTGATCACCGTGCCGTGAACCGCTAAGTCAACTCGAGTCGCCTGGTGGAATGGGTAAGAATGTAAAAGTCATGGTGGTATCGTCTCTTTCCGTGAATATTACTACTCCAATCGTCTTTGGTTTGAACCATAAAACGACCTTCAAAGTCGAATCGTTTTGCATCCGCGGCGGAATTGACGCGGCAGCAGAAAGAGAATTCGTTGCGAATCTTCCTCTCATCGAAAAATGCCAGAAGATCCTTACTTCCTGGTCGTCGAATAGATAATAGCAACCATACTCACGAACCGTCAACAGGGATCGAGAAGACAAGGATATGCGAGAACGGCGCGGCGAGAAACAGGCGAGTCGAAGAAAGGCAGGCAGGCACGAAAGAATCTTAGGAAGAAAAGGTTGCGAATTGAAGGTTGTGAGCTCCGTCGGCAAGTGCTGAGGGGTGAAGGTGGTGAGGAGGATTGCCAGTAACGAATGCAGAACACCGTTGCTCTCGTTAGTAGCTGCTTGTGTATGTGGTTTTACACTGGATCCACGAGTAACATTTTTGACATCTTAACGGGAGTAAGTAGGAACGGAGAACCCAACAGAAATGTCAAACGTGAATAGATATTTCCGAATATCTGTCAAGGTGAGATATATTGAGAAAGCTTGCTTTCTTATTTTTATCAATTGGCATCGTTCTCACATCGTTCTCATTACAACTGGCTTATTACAACATTTGCATCGAGATTGAACACAAGCTAGTGCATGCTAATATCACTAGCTAAGATGTACCCTATCCAAGTGGCATTAGCAAGGCGTTCTACGCTGGGGTGGGTGGTGGGGATGTTGAGTGAGCCGTTTGAAATAGAGAAACGTGGGTGGAGGGAAATGAGCTCCAACCCACGGTTTTTGTAGTTGGAGAAGGGCGTTTAGCGCGCTTCGACGATGCCAATTGTGCAGTACAAGCAGCTTCGCTTTCACAATACACAATTTTAAAAAACACAATGTGTGTTTAAAAATTATAATATTGAGAAAGCTTGCTTTCTTATTTTTATCAATTGGCATCGTTCTCATTACAACTGGGGTCTCTGAGACATGGGCAGCGGGGGCCTCCTATGGCGTACGAGCGCCTCTGTGTGTTGCGCCGAAGACACCGCCTGCGTCGGATCTTGCAGGTTGCGGGATGCTGTGATGAGAGGCTCGACGTATGGCGTGACGTACATTTCCTTAGCTGTGTCGCTTCGCCATCTGCCCAGCCGTTTGAAGACTCTGTCTGGCACTCCAGTGTTGGCTGCTACTGTGGCCGCGCCTTTTCGGAAAGAGTGAGTGCCGAGCTGCAGCTCTCCCAGACCAACTTTTGCGAAAGCTTCCTTACACCAGTTCCGAATTGTAGTGTATGAAGGCGGCTTCGCTTGGCCTTTGCTGCTTGAAGCGTGCCCGAAGACACGAATCAACGGTCCCTCTGACTGAGGACCATAGCCGGCGAGTTGGATGAAGCGTCGGGTGCAGCGCACTGGGCAACAAGGGTCTGTCGTTGCTGCAATGGGTATCCATGTTCTGTGACCGGCCTGATCGGTCTTAGAGTGTGGTATGAGGATCCACATGACCTCTTCGTCGAATTGGATGTCTTGCCATTGTATGGCCACTAGGTCGGAGTATCGCAGAAATCCTGAGTACATGAGGATGGGGATCAGCCCTTTCTGAAATTCCGCAGGGTCGTCAGACTGCAGGTAACTCCCGGCCATGTCGCGGACTTGTTGGATCGATACGGGTTCCTTCAGACGAGTAGGGCGGGGGCAGTGTCGTTTTGCACAGTCGCGGACTTGGGTGGTAAACGGACCGATTGTTGGGCATTTGTTCCCAGTCATGCGATGGGCGAAGCTTACTGCCGAGCACGTCAGCTGCACTACGGACAGGGTGGCTTTGCGTCGGATTGCGTGAACCAGGTATAGTGCGAGTGTCATGTCGGAAGCTGGAAGAAAGGAGAGATCCACTTTTGTGCAAAATTCTCGAAACTTGGCCCAGTATGGTTCGTATGTCCGGATCGTAGAATCGGCGCGTGACTGCGCGAGCATTTTGATCAGTTGGTCGTGTAACTTTGGGAGCAAATCTGAACACAGGAGTGGACAATATGCATTAGTCAAATACCACTCGCAGTGCAATGATTGGGCTATGCGGTAGTCCCGTGCCCGAGAAGGCAGTAGAATGGGACCCTGTATCTAGGCATTGGCTTCCGTGTGTGAGAGGGATGTGCGCGTGGATGTGTGGAGCCCAAGTACATAGGGAGGGTTGCAAAAGTGGCCACCAACTTGCGCCTGGCCAGTGCGGGACTATTAATGTGAGTGATGCATGGGTGCGTTGTGCATGGTGGAGGACGGCTGGGACCAGTTGGGGTGGGGGGAAGGCGAAGTTGTTTTCGGCTGTCCATGCGATCGAGAACGCATCAACTGCGATGGCTTCCGGGTGGGGGATCTTGGTGCAAAAGCGCGAGAGTTGGGTGTTGTGAGAGTTTGCAAAGAGGTCGATGGAATGCGGACCCCAACGACGTTCTAAGATGCGAAACCACGGCTTCTTCAACGCGTAGTCGTCGTGGTCGACCATTTTTGAAAGCTCGTCAGCATGTGAGTTGAGCTCTCGCGGGATCCATTCAATGATCAAGCGCGTGCCGAGCCCCATGCGTGTTCGGATGATGCTTTTGCAAGCCATTGTGAGGTCAGAGCTGTGAGAGCCGCCTTTGCGAAGGATGAAGAATACGCCCTGGTTGTCCACCCGCACGAGAACGTGTTTTTGCTTGATCTTGTTGGCGTACGTTTGGAGCGCCCAAAGGACGCCTTCGATCTCCCGCCGCGTGCTGGACGTTGCCTGTAGTGGCTCTGACATGGTTGCGCTCGCTTCTTCGAGGCCACCCGGAAATGTAGTTAGAGTGGCGCCCCAACCATGAGAGCTGGCATCCACATGAATTACCGCATCGTAGCTGTTCCGGACGTGGAAAGGTGCACCGTTGAACCGGTCGAACTCCTCAAGCCAAAAGTGTAGCTCCTCTGCTGCGGCTGGGGGGATGACCACGTTGCTTTTCCATGACGGTGCGTCGTTGATTACTTGTAACATGGCGTGGCTGAATGCGCGAGCGGTCGCGCCAAGTGCGACCCCCATTGATGCGAGCATGCCTGTGATTCTGGCCATGTGGCGGACCGGGACTGGTCGGCATGCCTTGCTTGCGCTCAGGAGGTTTTGGATGGCTGCATGTAGTGAGGCTCGTCGGTCGGGACCGATGGAGAATCGACCGGTATCGGTTTCCAGCTCTACACCCAAAAATCGTAGGCGTTGCGATGGTGACAGCTGTGATTTCTTCACGAGTCCTGCCTCTTTAAGGTCCAATATCACACGCTGGCAGATCGCTTGCGCATGGTCTTTCGACTGACAGAGGAATAAGATGTCGTCCACGTAAGGGATGACTCGGATGCCTTGTTCTCGCCAGCGCCGAGCCAGTTGCTTGATGAGCTGCGTGAAGACGAATGGAGCTGTCGCGAGGCCAAATGGCAGTGAACGAAATGCGTACGTGCGCCTCCCAAATTCGAAGCCGAGGAACTTCCAGCATGATGGGTGGATGTCGATGTGGTGGTAACCGGATTTAAGGTCAATGGAGAACATCCAATCCCCAACGCGTGCCAGGTCCGCCACGCGGTTGAGCCCCTCGTACTTGAACTTGGGGACGATTAAGCTTGCGTTGACTTTCCGCAGATCAAGAATGAG